GGGGGCGGTTGGGGTGCGCGCCCGCCGCAGTGGACGCCGCCGCGGCCGCCATGCAGCTGACAGTGAAAGCGCTCCAGGGCCGCGAGTGCAGCCTGCAGGTAGCGTCACCGGGCCCCCGTCGCCGTGCCGGCTCGCGCACTCACCACCCCCTGGGCGCGGGGATGGGCCGGGCCGAGGGCGGGGATGGGGAGGCCGGGAGAGCCTCCCTCGACGGGGGCCGCGGACTCAACCTCTGCCTCGTACCCTCGGCCCGGCCAGGTGTCGGAGGACGAGCCGGTGTCCACGCTGAAACATCTGGTCTCTGAGAAGCTCAACGTCCCCGTGCGCCAGCAGCGGCTGCTGTTCAAGGGCAAGGCCCTGGCAGGTACCCGGGAAGAGGAGACGCCCAGGGAGCCCCGCAGGAATTCAGGGGACGGGGTGTCTAGGCCGAGCCCGGGAAGGAGTGTGATGGATGGGGTGCTGGCCACTCTACCCTCAGGGAGGTGACTGAACCCTCCTCAGACAGATGCTGCAGAGCTTCGCCGTGGGTAACGACTCCATCAATCTCTCTTTGGCAGATGGGAAAAGACTCTCTGATTACAGCGTTGGGCCCAATTCCAAGCTCAACCTAGTGGTCAAACCTCTGGAGAAGGTGTTACTGGAAGAAAGCACCGCCCGGAGACTGGCCGAGGTCCCACCACCGCCCACACCAGCCTGGCAGCTGATCTCCAAAGTCCTGGCCCGCCACTTCAGTGCTGCAGATGCCAGCAGAGTTCTGGATCAACTACAGAGGGTGAGAAGGGCGGCCCAGGACATCCACTCCCCACCCAGCTGTGCCCATCCCCTGGCTCGGTCATAGGGTACCCCCAACCGGCACCCCCTGAATCCTTCTGGCCTTCTCTCCTCAGGATTATGAGAGGTCCCTGAACCGCCTGACGCTGGATGACATCGAACGCTTGGCTAACCGCTTTCTGCACCCCGAAGTGACTGAAGCTATGGAGAAGGGGTTCTCCAAATAGGATTCTCAGAGTGTGGGGAGGAGCCCGACCAGGCTACAAGCTGCATGTAGCATTAAATGTGTTCTCCTGTTGCAATCTGGCTCATAATCATCATCATCATCATCATCATCATCATCATCATCATCATCATCGCCGGCAGGTACCTGGGTACCCATACCTGGTTCTTGCTAAGTGCCAGGCACAGCTTACAGCACTTGACATGGGTTTGCTCCCACACCTCACACAAAAGGTAAGACAACGAGGCACCTAGCAGTGAAGTGGGGGAGCCAGCATCTGAGTGCAGCCAGCTTCTAGAAATGCCCCAGGGTGCAAAGGAACAAAGGGGCTGTTTGGACGGGTTCCAAGGGATGGGCTTTGGCCTATCATGTTTAGCCCACTGAGAATAAACCCTCCAGAAACTCTTCTTCAGGCCTGAAAGGGGAAGCAGCTGGCCCCTGCTGCCCAGTCCCGTCACCTGACCTCAGACAGGTTCGGGACATTGGCAGGAGGCCAAGTGACAGCGAGCCCTGGGGCCCCCTCAGCCGCTGCAGCCAGTGAGCACTCGACAAGGAAAAGCAGGTCGGGGAGTCGGGGACCTCTGCGGTATGACCTCAGGCAAGTCCCTGTGCCACGTCGGTCCCTAGTTGTTAACTCTGCACAATGGGGGCCACTCTTGAAAGCTCCTTTTCCTTCATCCTTACCCAGCCCCGGGGTGAGGGGTCTGCAGCCCTCCTCCTGTACTCCATAAACAGACAGGCCAAAAACCAAGCAATGGCCAAGCATGGCCCAGAGATGCGATGTCCTGGCCCTTCACGTCACAGCTCTTTGGGTACTCTCTCTGCTTGTCTCCTCTGGACGTGAGCATTTCTCATCTCTGAAGGATGACAGGTGACTGACTTGAGGTCACTCAGCCTTGGCCAGGCTCCCACATCCTGCGTTCACCCACAGTGTGGAAGTGGACCCTTCCCCTGCCGCATGGATACAGGGCCTTTCACTCTGCACACGCCTCACTGCCTAAGAGGAACCCTCAGAGTGCCGGGGAGGGGGTAGAAGCCTGGCCTGGTGGCGCTGATCCTCCCACGTTGCCTGGTGTATGGGCACCAGAGGTCACTAGGCACCTGCTCCTTGGCAGAGGATACCTAGGGCTGTCAAGACTGGAAGGAAGCTGCCCTCCTGCCTGGGCCGCATGGGGTGAATGCTGGGTCCGCAGGCTGGGAAGACAGAGGCCCAATGGGCGAAGGCTTTGAAGAGCAGAAGAAAGTCCCTGGCTCCCCCCGAGAGCTGGGAATATCAAATAGCAGGGCCCGCTCAGGAACTGGTGTGGTCTGGCAGCTCATGTGATACTTACCAGTGCTCTCATTTTATTTTGAGTCAGGAAATTTTTGTTGAAATTTTGAATCCCACTAAAGGTGAACGTGGGACTGACTCTTACCCAAAAGGAACTATGTTAGCCAGGCTGCTTTTGGTTTCCAATAATTGGTCTAATCATGGAAGAAATTGGTTTAAACAATAAAGGAAACATTGGTTTGCCAAACTGAGAAGTCCAGGGGTATTGGCAGCAGATGGACAATTTCACCAAATACCCAGTTTCTTCCTACCTCCCCTCTGCATCCTGAAGTGTCTGCTCCATCCCAGGCCGTTGCCTCAGGAGCAAAAGATGGCTGCTTGCAGTTGCCACTGAATCTTGTTCACAGTCAGCAAGGAGCACCTTCTCGCCCTATAGTGTACCTTCTTTCTCTGATGCCCCCAGCAAATAAACGCTGTCCTTGTATTGGTCAGAATCAGGTCATGCTCCAATCATTTTGGCCAGCAGTGGGATGGGTGGGGGGAGGCCAGCCCCCTGGATACCCATGGGCGGGAGGGAGAGGGGGATTCTCTACAAAAGCCAGGGCTAAATGGTGGCCCCAAGCAGCAACTGTCCACTGCAGGGGAGTGACAGAGATGTGCATTTCAACCAGACCCTAGAGATGGTCGTTGAGTCCCTTGTGCCAGTGCCCTCCTGGCTCAGGAGTGACAAGAACCCTCTGGTGATTAGGAACCATCCACTGGACACTTGGACGTGGGGGTCAGGAACTCAGCCGGGGGATCAGGATGGACATGGAGGCAGGAATGAGATCTTCAGGGTGTATGGTGGGACCCTGATGGAGGAGTTGACTGGGACCCCGGCCCAGTCCAGTTCCAGAGCCCTGTGCGGCCTTCTACAATGACGATCAGGAATTAGGTGTGGATAGGATGTCCTAGGGTCTCTGAGGACAGATGAGGTGGCTTCCCAGAAAGTGTAGCATGAAAAGAGAAGAGAGGATTGGGCCTTGAGGCATTTTACCAACTGGAGACATGGTAAAGGCCAAGGAGCTTCCTGACAGTAGGCCACAAGGAAAGGTCGGTATGAGAAGGCAAGAACACCCTTCCAGAAGGTGGGTGTAGTCTGGTACTGCCAAGAGGCATTAGTAACAAGAAAGTCATTGGCGATGTTGGGGAGCAAGAAGTGGCTGCACGGTGGGGAGGGGAGAAGGTGGTGACAGTGACTGGGGACCCCACATTCTGGAAGCTTGTCTGTGCACAAGTGTGTAGCTGTGGCTGGGCAGGCAAAGGAGGGAAGATAGGAGGGGAAAGGATGCTGCAGGGCGGGGAGTGGGAGGCCCAGGGGGAAGGGGCCTGTGCTGTCAGGGGAGGAGACCAGAGGCCATAGGCCGCACCCTGCCTTTGCCCCTAGAGTCTAGGGGTGGCCCCGTGTACACCTGCGAGCTCTGAATGCTGTGATTCTTCAACAGGGCCAGCACTGTGTCCACCCAAATGGGTACTGACCCACCTGCTACCCTTTGTGCCCTGGCCACTGTGGATCCCTGAGGCCCACTGCCTGCCCCTTGGGGAGGGGCCTCGGGACAGCCCCTACCCCCGGGAACACAGTGCACCATACGGGCCCTGCTATTAATTGCAATGATACCAGAAGACAAGAGGATGAGTGAAGGGCCCAGCTGAAGGGGCCTCTCAGACAGAAATGGTCTGGCACCTGGAATGAGATGCTTGTGGTGCCAGGAGGAGGGACAGACTCAGGAGAGCAGCATTTGCTTTAGGGTGGGGCTCATTGAGTTGGAGGTACCCAAGCAACTAGGCTGTCCCCACAATTCGCTGGCACCTTCAGGCTTCCTGCACAGGCCTGGCTAAAACTGGGCCTTGCCAGCTCTGATAGGTTTAACAGGGGTACAGCTTAGCCAGGCCAGGCTCTCCCGGGGGCAGATATGACAGCTGAGGCCAGCTCCAGACCTCGGGGCTCTGAAAAGCCTGCCGGAGAGACAACCACCCTTGCCCACCTCCAGGGCTCCTGGGGAACTGCCCTCTCTGCATGCCCCTCTCAGGGGTTCACTCCTTCTCTAGCTCCTTTGCTGGTTCTTTCCCCCGACAAACTCTACCTCTTAATGTGGGGAGCTCCAGGGCCCTGTCCCCAGACCACTCCTCTCTCTCTCTCTCTCTATCACTTCCCAAGGGAGCTTGTCCACCTTCATTCCCATTTCTGTGCTTCACTCCTGGCCCTCTTTCCTGAGCTCCAGGCCACATCTCTAGAGCGACTGAGACAGCTCCTGGCCCTCCTGCAGATAGCTCATTCATTCCTTCAGTACACATTCACTGAGCACCCACCATGTCCCAAATGCTGGCACAGCTCCTTCCCTCGTGGCACTTCATCAGCCCCTCAGTGAGCACAGTTTCTTCACAGCCTGCCTCAGTGAATGGCAATAGCACTTAGCCGGACTTTTAACAACAGGAAGCAGGAGGCCACCTGTGTCTCTCAAAACTCTCCCTTCTCCATAGGCAATCAGGCAACAATATTTTTTAAATTTATTTACTTGTTGAGAGAGAGAGAGCGCACAAGCAGGGGGAGTGGCAGAGGGAGAGGGAGAAGTAGGCTCCCCGCTGAGCAGGGAGCCCGATGTGGGGCTCGATCCCAGGACCCCGGGACCATGACCTGCGCTAAAGGCAGACGCATCACTCACTGAGCCACCCAGGCGTCCCAAGCAACAATATTTTTTAAAGAATCCAGAGCACTTGCCTTGTAGAAAGTTCCAGAGTCTAGATTTTCCTGATACCTTCCTCATTAGATTCAGCTTAAGTGCTTTGAGAAGTTGCTATGTCCTTTCCCCTCCCCCGTCCAACAGCTTCAAGAGGCACTGGGGTCAGGCTGTCCCACTGTTGGGGAGGCTCAGTTTGGTCACATGGTCAAGGTCGTGTCTGACATGCCTCACAAAGTTGCATCTTCCTTTCCTAAAGCACAAGTAGTCTGGGGTAATACCTTGTGACCATGTGACGATCTTCTTCCCCGGCAACCTCTGTTTGCTGGTTTTACCGTACGAGTAGGATCCTGGCCGGAATGAAGTGATGGCTTCACAATGGTTTGCCGATGCTTGCTTGCTGTCTACAATTCTCAGTTGGCAGCCTTTCCCTTGAAAGAGCTTTCCTTTTTCCCTGCTCTCTTTTCTTGATTATCATGGTAGATGCATCGGGGTTTTTTTATTCAATGACTTAGAATCCAAGAATATTGTTTTGGGGGGTAATTTTTATTGGACTATAGCATGCATACAGTAACATGCATTATTCATCAGTGTACGGCTCGATGGATTTTTAAAGTAAATACACCCATGTATCTGTCCCCTCAATATCAAGATACAGAACATTGCCAGCACTCCAGCACCATCCTTGGTGCTCCCTTCCCGGTCATACTCCTCTCCGAAAGGTCTAATATCCTTTCAGATGATCACATTGTTCTAGCTGTGGTTCTTTCTGCTTGGCTCCCGTGTCCCTTGGCCATGCCTCATCCTTTTGTGTTTCAAGCACTTACTTTTTGGCACTACGAAGTGCTCCAGGCTTATCTTGTATTTATTTTTTCCTGCCCCAGCTCTAGAAGCAGCCATTTCTCCAAGAAGCTCTGGTTCCTTTCAGCAGAGAATGGTAGTGAGAAACCAAGGTTTGGATGTAAGGTGTGTTCATTGCTTCTAGGCTCTTCTACCAGACAAAACTAGGAAAACGTATTATTTAAGTTCATACTGCAGTCCTCAATTCCAATCCAACATCACAGTCCTTTCCCACCTTCCCTCATGCAACAGTGAGAATTCTGGTTCCTGACAACATCAATATATTGATTCATTTGATCCACCCGGTAGTCTATCTTGAAGTACACCCAAAATGGCTTCACTGTAATCTCATCACTACCATTGCTGAGAGCAAACATACTAAGAATAAGGTCAGTTCTTTTGTCCTTAGAATATATCCCGTGCAGGGATATACAAGCAGAAAACTGATTTAAAAGTCAGCTGAATTATTTTCTCTGTGTGGTTTTGTTATCATTTGGATATGCAGTTAGGCTCATTTGTTTTGTTTTATTTGTTTTCATTTGTTTTTGGTTTTATTCAATTTTCACATTTGATTTTTTTAGATTTCCCAAATGTACTTTTTGTTCAAAGTCAAAACTACACAAAATGGTATGATCCAAGAAATCCCACACCATCTCAACTCCCTGTAGGTGACTATTTTCATTAGTTTCAGGTTTCTCCTACCTTTTTTTTTTTCTAATAAGCATGTGTGTCTGTGAGAGAGAGTGTGTGTGTGTCCTTTGCATTTTGCTTTTTTTTTACACAACAATAGTTGATTTCACCAGTTCCCTGCTGATGGGCATGTATATGGTGTCCAATAGTTTTCTAGGACCAATTATCTTACAGTTCGTGATTTTGTGCATATGTTGTTCCATATTTGTGAAGTAACTGCCTATATGTGGGATTGCTGGGTCCAGACAGTGATGACTTTTGTATTTAATACTCTCTTTCATTAAACAAGCAGCAAACCTCATACTCCAGAAACTGCACTGATGGGGGTGCCTGGGTGGCTCAGTCGGTCAAGCATCTGATTCTTGATATTCTTGATTTCCACTCCAGTCATGATCTCAGGGTCTTGACATCCAGCCCTGTGTTGGGCTCCCTGCTCAGCAGGGAGTCTGCTTCTCTCTCTCTCCCTCTGTGCCTCCCCCTGCTCATGGCCTCTCTAAAATAAATAAATAAATCTTTAAAAAGAAACTGCACAGAACAACAACAAAAAAAAGGTACCAGAGAGATATACGAACGATATAAAAGTAAAGAAAACAAGATTGTCATTTCAGATTATGATAAATGCAATGCAGTAGACTGAAATGGGCAAATGTGATGAATGGTGCCTGGGGGGAGTATGTTCAATCGGTGACCCAGACGGCCCTTCAAAGGTGACACTGGAGCCAAGATCCTAATGACAAGGAGGAGCCAACCATGGGAAGGTTTGTGGACAGAGTCTTCCAAATAGAAGAATAAATGCAAAGGGGTAGGGGCAGGCCACCCTTGGTCAGGAGCAAAAAGAAGGCCCCACAGGCTACAGAGAATGCAGGAGCAGACAGGTGAGGGTATGGATGGACGAGCTGGGAGCTCAGGTCACACAGAGTTGAGTTTTTTTGAAGATTTATTTATTCATTTTTGAGAGGGGGAAGGGGCAGAGAGAGAGACGATCAGAGAATCTCAAGCAGACTTCCTGCTGAGCATGGAGCCCAATGCTGGGCTAGATCTCATGGCCCTGAGATCATGACCTGAGCTGAAACCGAGAGTTGGCTGCTTAACCGACGACTGAGCCACCCAGGCGCCCCCACACAGAGTTTTTATAAGCTACATCAAGGAGTTTAGATACGATTCCAAGGGCAATGGAAAATCATTTTAGGATTTTAAACAGGGATGCAATGTGATGTGACTTTAAAAATTAAGAGGTAATTCTGTTGTGTGGAGAACAGGCTGTAGAGGAGCAAAAGTATAGTAGAAAACCAGTCAGGAAGCTGGTGAAGGAGTTGGACAGATGGTGGCTTCCACTCGGGACGAGCAATGGAGAGGGAGGGAAGTGGTCTGACTTAGGGTCTGTTTTGAGGGGAGATCCAGCAGGATTTGATGATATAGTTCAGTTTTATGTAATTCCCTATGATTACCAAAGGAGGAACACAGAAAAGTAACACAACATTCCACAGTGGAATCTCATGTCACATTAAAAACACCTTTTTGATTATGGGGGTGCCCGGCCGGCTGGTTCAGTCAGTAGAGCATGCAACTCTTGGTCTGGGGGACATGAGTTTTTTGCCCCACGTCAGGTGTAGAGACTACTTAAAAAAAATAAAAGAGGGCGCCTGGGTGGCTCAGTCGTTAAGCGTCTGCCTCCAGCTCAGGTCATGGTCCCAGGGTCCTGGGATCCAGCCCCGCATGGGGCTCCCTGCTCAGCGGGGAGTCTGCTTCTCCCTCTCCCTCTGCTTGTGTTCCCTCTTTTGCTGTGTCTCTCTCTCAAATAAATAAATCTTTAAACAAAAAATAAAAATAAAAATAATAAAAGAGAAAATGAAAAGAAAGAAATGTCATGTAAGATCACTGTTGGCCTTTTGGGGGGGAAGAGAAACCCCAAAAGGAACTCGAAATCCCCCACAATGCCACCACACGGAGATAATGGGTATTTACACTTGGGGGTATTGTTCCAGGCTTTCTGTGCATCTATCCATACCGTAGTTTACTAAGTTGGGATTTTAGTGATTTCCGCTTTGCATTCTGGTTTTGCCTCTAGGACATGAGTCGTTTTCCACGGCCACTACTTGAGTTCCAGGGACCACCATGTCTCTCCTCGGCTCCGCGTGGCTCTGCCCGCTGGCAGGCTTCCCCTCCCACAGGAGCCACTTAGGGATCTTTCCAAAACGCAGATCTGATCCGCTCATCTCAGGGGTCGCCCCCTCTGAAGGCCACTTTGGGTTCTCCACCTGTACCGGCGATGGGGGCGGGGGCGGCCCGGTGTCCGTCGGGGGCTCTCTCCCATCTCCCATCCACGAATCGCTGCAAGGACGTCGAGCCGCATGTCGTGGGGACACTGAACCCGAGGAAGAGACGGGGCGGGGAACAGGCCACGAGTCTGGTGGCCTCACACGAGGTCTTGGACAGGGGCGGGGCGGGGGTCGAGCTGAGGCACAACGGGTTTGCGGAGGTGCGACGGGGTCACACGTCACTCTACGGGGCAGTGTTTCGCGAAGGAGCGCTCACTGGCCACGCAGCCATGAGGGGTCTCCCGGAAGCCACGGGCCGCCGGGTCGACTCGGTACAACCGAGCATACTCCCCGCAGCCTCCCAAGGGCAGGGTCGTTTTGCGCAGGCGCCCTGGGAATCACACCGAGCCCTGGGGGGCGGGGCTTCGTGGAGAGCGCTCATTGGCTAGGCAGCCATGGGGCGGGGCCTCCAGGAGCTCAAGGCAGAGCTGGCTGAGCGAGAGGGGGACTAGCCAGGGGCCCTGCAGAATCACGGCGGAGGGGACGATGGGGGAATGTCGCGGGCGCTCCGGGGAGCCCGAGTTGCATTGCGTGCGAAGGCGCTGAGCTTTGTGAGGAAGCGCTCATTGGCTAGGCAGCCAGGGGGGTCCCCCAGGGCCCAAGGGCGGAAAGGCCGACTGGGCAGGAAGCGACCACATGCCCGGCGGCCTCACTAGGAGCCTGTTTGCGCAGGAGCCCTAAGGTCGCCTTGGAGGGCGGGGTTCCCGAGAGGCGGGTCGAGGCGGCCATGCAGGCGGCAGGAGCGGACGCAGGCGCAGGCGGCGGGGCGGGAGGTGTGGACAACGGCCGGGACGGCCATGACTGCCTTGGTGGCCGCGGCGGCCCCGGCTTTCCCAGTGGCGCGGGGGCGGCCTGTCTCGCGCCCACGGCACGTCCCGGGGCCAGGCGAAGACGCTGCTTCCAAGATTCCAAGGCTGGAAAGCCGAATACACGTCTTGTATCCTACGCGAACGGACAGCGGGGGGATAGGGGGGCCTGGGCCGGGGGCTGGCTGTGGGCGCCAGGGGCTGCAGAGGGACGGAAGGGTCGGGGCAGCCTGGGGGCGGACAGGGAGAGGGGCAGCGGTAACCGCGGGCGGTTGGGGGTGTCCGGCCCGGGGCTGGTGTGGAGGGAAAGAAACAAGCACAGAGGGGAGCCGGGGGTGCCGGCGGAGGGGGGCGCGGCAAAGAGATGCGAGCAGGGTGCGGACGGGGTGGCTTCAGAGGGATGGGTCGGCGGAGGAAGGAGGGAGAGCAGGGGCATGACCCAACGGTTGCTGGGGGCGGGGGGCGGGATGGGCCAGGCTTGGCGTCACGGGGCGGGGGACGGGGAGGTTAAGAAATGAGAGCGGAGCTTAGGTCTCGGGGTGACTGGGCGTGATTAGGGCCGGGAGGGGGTGGGAGCTGTCCCGAAGGGGACGGAGCCAGTCAGGGTGGCCTGGGAAGCGGGGCCCAGGCACAAAGTCGTTTGGATGGTGCCTTAAGCGAATCTCCTCCAGTGCCCTCTGCGTGCCTTTCCCGTCCGGCTTGGAGGCGGAGATCGCCTATGGGTCCCTGGCCCCAGATGCCGAACCCCACGGAGGGGCTGTTGAGAAGCAGCTCACAGTGAGTGGCAGCGTCATGGCCGTGTAAGTTCTGGAAGGGGCCGGCTGGGAGTGACAGCAGGTGGCAGGCCTGGTCTCCACTCTGCTGGGCGCTCTGCCGGACACACAGAGATCCTCCATAAAGGGTTACTTCCAGGGCCCGGCCGGGGCGGGGTGGGGGGGGGTTGCAGTCTCCCTGCAGCCTGGACTGGGGTACAGGGAGGGGGGCGTTCATGGGGATGTCAGGGTTTGTGTACTGGTTTTGGGGGGGCGGCAGAGCAAGGAAGGGGAGAAGCTTACACCTCCAGTTTGGTTGTCTTTTCTGCTCCCTTTCAGCCGCTGGAGAGCTAAAGATCCTCGCCTCCTCCGAATTTCCATCATGACCTTTCTTGATCAGCTTTCCCTGGTGATGCAGACCATGCGGCGCTTTGGGCCCCCCGTTTCCCGCTAAGCCTGGGCTGGGGAGAGGGGGCTAAGGCCTAACCTCTTGTCCCTTCCCAAGGCACTGCGTCCTTCCCTGGGGCAGTCATCCCTGTAGTAGTAGCTGCAACGGTGTTAGGGGGGCCTGAGCTTCTGGTGTTAGGGGGGCCTGAGCTTCTGGTGTTAGGGGGGCCTGATCTGGTGTTAGGGGGGCCTGAGCTTCTGGTGTTAGGGGGGCCTGAGCTTCTGGTGTTAGGGGGGCCTGATCTTCTGCCGCTGCTGGCCCTAGGGCACTCAGGGTCCATTTGTTTTGTTTGCTGCTTAAATGTTTGTTACTGCAGAAAATAAAACTGAGTTTTGCTATTCCGTGTCTAAGTTTCTTTTCCACTGTGGCACCACCTCCGGATAGTCTTCCCTTTGTCCTCCGGTGGCAGGGGAGGTTCTGGGATGCGGGTACTTGAGGAGGGAAAGGTGACTGAAGACAGGTTAGGAAATGGAAGAACGCAGGTTCTGTCCTTCACTATCAGCGGCTCTCCACACGTTGGAATGTGTCCTCAGTTTTATCCTTGTGTTTATATGCTAAATGGATAATAAAATAAGAGGTAATATTTTGCATGTTTCGCATGTCTCCTGATATTTTCCCCCATCGAATGTGAACTTTTCCTCTTTAAAAACATTCTCGAATGGATGCATGAAAGATGCATTATGATGCAATTACTGAACATTTAAATTCTCTTCAACTTTGCCAGATTAGAGGTAGTGATTCAGCGGAACTCTTGCGTATAAATCTTTGCATGAATGATGTTTCCTTACAATAAGTTAAAAGAGGTAGAATTTACTTGGTTAAATATTTACTATTTTTTTATTTTTTCTATAGATTTTATTTGTCAAAGAGCACAAGCAGGAGGAGAGGCAGGTAGAGGGAGAAGCTCCCCACTGAGCAAGGAGCCCGATGCAGGACTCGATCCCAGGGCCCTGGGATCATGACCTGAGCCAAAGGCAGACGCTTAACTAACTGAGCCACCCTGGCGTCCCTATTTACTTTTTTTTTTTAAGACGTTATTTATTTAAGAGAGCACAAGTGAGGGAGATAGGCCAAAGGAGAGCGCCCAAATATTTACTATTTTTCTAAAGATTATTATTTTTAAAAAAATAAATATTTTTATTAGAGAGTTGGGGGGGAAGGGTCAGAGGGAGAGACAAAATCTCAAGCAGACTCCCTGCTGAACATGGAGCCCAACTCAGGGCTCCACCCCACAACCTTGAGTTCATGCCCCAGGCCGAAATCAATAGTCAGATGCTTAACCGACTGAGCCACTCAGGAGCCCTACTGTTCTTTAAAACTCTCACTCGAGAGTGCAAAATTAGGGACACCTGGGTGGCTCAGTTGGTTGAGTCTTCGGTTCAGGTCATGATCCCAGAGTCTTGGGATCGAGTCTGCATCGGGCTCCTTGCTCAGCGGGGAGCCTGCTTCTCCCTCTGCCCACCGCTCCCCCTGCTGTGTGCTCTCCCGTGCTCTCTCTCTCTCTGACAAATAAATAAAATCTTTAAAAAAGGTGCAAAATTACTCTCCAGAATATGAGCCCTCTTGTCACCACTGGCTCTCTGACAGATTTTTTAAAGATTTTATTTATTTGAC